ATGCTCTTTGATTGTAGGTGAACTATACATCCCAGTAACTACAACTCCCAAATGCCAAGGTCTATTTTCCCCCAAGAGTGCCTCAAGAGTGCCCCTGGGCAACATCAACTCTACTGCAAATGCTTACTTTGCATAATGGGTTGAGCCACCCCTGAGTGCACATGTCTTAATTAAAAGGTACATACACCACAACTCTTGTTATTTCCCAAATATACTATTGCAATGCGCTCTACATGGGGCTGCCTTTGAAGACTGTTTGGAAGCTTCAAGTAGTCCAATGGGCAGCACCCCGATTTCTCACCAGAGCAGCATTCAAGGAGCATGCAACTCCCTTCTTATGCCACCTCCAATGGCATAAATCCGGGCACAATTCAAAGTGCTGGTTTTAGCCTATAAAGCCCTAAATGGTTCTGGCCCAGCTTACCTGTCCGAATGTATCTCCTCTCTATGAGCAGGCTAGGAGGTTGAGATCTTTTGGGAGAGGCCCTGCTCTCGGTCCCACCTCTTTCGCAGGTGCGGTTGGTGGGGACGAGAGACAGGGTCTTTTTGGTGGTGGCCACTTGGCTATGGAACTCCCTCCTGAGTGAAATCAGATCAGCCCCTCCTCTCCAGACCTTCAGGAAAAAGCTAAAGGCATGGATGTGGGACCAGGCTTTCAGGCAGTAACAGTGCAAAAAAGAGAACACAGAATGGCACAATGWCAATTGGAAAGGCCTCGGACAATGACATCGGATTGTGTGATTTTTTTAAAAAGTGGTTTTAATGRGTGATATGTTTTTAGCGATTATTTTAATGTATATGTTTTTATTTCACCCGGTGTGTGTTTATGGGCCATCGAATTGTTGCCTATATATGTAAGCTGTTCGGAGTCCCCTAAGGGGTGAGAAGGGTGGGGTATATAAATACATCCAGAACTGTGTCGATTTCAGAAATGTATGCAACTAAACTCGCATATTGAAATATATAGGATTTTCTTTCTCTATTGCAAGAGTTCTGTCAATGAGTTTGGGAGCCCTAGTCCCTCTATTTTATGGAGGTCTGTGGCACCCTCTTGTGGCTGCCATTGGAGCAACCATAAGTGATTCTTGTTCAATATGTTGTCTTAAGGATTCCATGGTTGGTCAGAATAACTGGCTTGCTGTGAATTTTCCGGGCTATATGGCCATGTTCTAGAAGCATTTTCTCCTGACARTTTGCCCACATCTATGGCAGGCATCCTCAGAGGTTGTGAGGTCTGTTGGAAACTAGGAAAATTGGGTTTATATACCTGTGGAATAATGCCCAGGATGGGAGAAAGAACTCTTGTCTGCTTGAGGTGAGTGGGAATGTCGCAAATGGCCAGCTTGATTACCATTGAATGGTCTTGCAGCTTCAAAGCCTGGTTGCTTCCTGCCTGGGGGGGGGGACGACTTTTGTTAGGAGGTGTTAGCTGTCCCTGATTGTTTCTTGTCTGCAATTCCCTTGTCTTCTGAGTGTTGTTCTTTATTTGCTGGTCTTTTTTTTAATACTGGTAGCCAGATTTTGTTCATTTTCATGGTTTCCTCCTTCCTGTTGAAATTGTCCACGTGCTTCTTGTGACTTCTCTGTGCATTCTGACATAGTGTGTGTGAGTGTGGTCAGGGCTGGCCCTAGGTAATTTTCAAGTGTAAGCAAGCAGTATTTTGGTCCCCGWCCCCCCAAACCAATAACTYAAAAATGAAAGGTAGAAGGTAGAGGTGAATAAAAGTATTACCTTAAAAACCAGAAGTTTACTTACAACTAASAAGAAGAGAATTAGCATTTCCAAAAAGTTTGCAAGCAAAACAAAAACACATGGTGCATCCAGACTGTCCAATGAATGCAGTCTGACACCACTTTCACTGCCATGGCTATATGCCATAGGGCGTGTATTTTGGGGAGGTGCCAGCTTTGGCAGAAAAGGGTAAAACTAACATCTCCTGTGAATTCCATGGCAGTGAAAGTGGGGTCAAACTGCACTAATCTAACAATTTCTGTTTCTGCAGCCTTTCTGTTACAACCCTGTAGCACAGGCATGGGCAAACTTTCTAGGAAAGGACGGATGGAAGGAGAAAGAGGAAGGGAAGGGAGGGAAGTAAGGAGGAAGGAAAGAGAGAAGGAAAGAAAGAAAAAAAGGGATAGAAGAAGGGAAGGGTGAAAGGGGAGGATGGATGGATGGATGGATGGATGGATGGATGGATGGATGGATGGATGGATGGATGGATGGATGGATGGATGGATGGTGCCAGGCTTCTGAACACACAATTTAGGTGTCTTCGAAATCACAACACCCCTTTCCTGTAAGAACTATCCTGGGAAAGAGGTGTCTTCACTGAAGCTTTATCATTCTCGGTTTCTTGCCCAACTATATAAATTTGGTTAACTCCTTATTCAAAGTTTTAAATATTTGATAGTTTCTAATTATTGGTAAGTTTTGGAATAGGTATAACATTTTTGGTAAGACATTCATTTTGATTGCCACAATTCTGCCTAATAGGGATAGATTCAAATATCTCCGATTTTCTAAGTCTTTTTTAACCTCTTTCAATTTCATTTTGTAATTATTTTTCCATAGTTGGGATTTTTTTTTTTTTTTTTTTTTTGCTYTTAATAAAATTCCTAGACATTTTACTTTTTTACTATTTGGAGTCTAATCTTTTCTTGGAGTTCTTCTTGGTGTTTTTGTGAAATGTTTTTGGTCAGTATTGTCATATGTTCTGCAGTTGATGGTGGTGGTAATGGAAGGGTTAATGTGAGTATTAGTTCTAGAGGGTTTGG